CGGTTCTCTGGAGTACAAATACCGCTTGATATTTGTACTTGTCTATGGCGTTATTTGTACTCTACGGAGTGTAGATGGATAATAATAGTAAATATTTTTTGATCAATGAACAATACGTTAAAATAAGATAACAAATAACAATGACATGATATTATAATTCAATTGATTTATGAGAATAAAGACGTTATTGTTGTTGTCGTTGTTGTCCCTTCATTTGTAAATTGTGTTGTCGTGCAAACTTTAATCCTCGGATATCTCCGCGTTCATTCCACTCTAGGGACCGATCATTATAAAGGATGGGGGTGGGGTGGAGGTGGTTGGGAAGTTCTGGAGTAATCTAATGTCCCCCACTTATCGGTGTAGTAAATTTTCTGGAGTCCCCCTTTGTTAGAGACGACAAATCCTCTTTCCGTCCCCCCTCAATACCATGTGATCCCCAAAATCCTCCCAAGCCCCGAAGCAATAAAGAATGAGTGGTCCCCTAACTATTTATCTTAAGATAAAGAATTACCAAGAAAGACGAGAAGCTTATATCGAGAAGATATACTCAGTTAGTGATAGATTTTTTACTATTTTTAATCGAATCCTGTATCGAACATACTCTTGATGTGTTTTGAATATTTAGTTGGCGCTGTCAGCCAATTGTTGGCGATCCATTTTTCTCCCTTGATGACGTCACATCCGCCGTGATACGTGGAACGGTCCACTTCTCCGAGCAGACCGCTTTCCGGGTCGATAAAATTGTTGTACCACATAACGGCGGTGCCCTTCTTTGGGAGTAGAACCAGGTTAGCTGAATGGCAATTGATGCTGAGATTGAATTCATTTGTCGCGGATTTTGAATTTTCAATTTCCTGAAAATAATCATAATTAAACAAAGGAAAGATAGTTCCCATTCAGCTCGATGATTAAGTACATTTCTAGCTGCCTGCATGCTACCGGCTTCTGTTCCAATATAATAACCATTCACTTTACTTTGCCATTTTTCAGGTTAGAATTTTTTAAGGAATGTGCTGCAGAATTACGTTGATAGTTTTCAGGAACGTGTTGAGGGTGGTAACTTAAGCCAAGAGCTAGTAAACTAAGAAATATCATGAGAAGAGGACGTCTACATATACAGCTCTCGACTGATTGGAGACAAGCAGGCTGCAAGGGCTTCAGCACCTTATGCGCAGGGAAATCGTTCATTGGCATTTTATGATCTTCAAGATTACATACTGTGATTCATCGCTATGTTTGATATAATTCAAACGCAATGTTTTATATCAAAAAGTGAAAGATACTCTAAAATCTATAAAAAAAGTTTAGTTTGAATAATCCTTTACCTTCTTCTGTTTTGTGTTCTATGAATAATCGTTGCATTGCCTGCTTCGTAAAATTTGCTAGTTCGGAAAGGTTTTCCCATTCGTTTTTATTTCTTTTGAAATATTGCGTTCTTTAAGATCAAATATGCTGATATCCCTATTAAATATGTCACCCGAAGTGTCTCACTTGCAATTGTGTACTTGGATATGTACAAGTTTGAATTGAACTGACCAGCACTTTCTTTACTTACATCAGGAGTGGTTGTTGTGTTATCAGCTATCAAGAAAGCTGTTTCCCCTCCTTCCTCTACGTTGTTAAGATAATACAGGATAGTGATAAACCTGGAACGAAGAACTTCGTCAAATCATACTAGAGAGATTAGAAATATTTTTGGCCTACTATGGCCAAAGCCTGACTCACTAATTAGCTGACCCACTGACTCACTGACTCACTGACTCACTGACTCACTGACTCACTGACTCACTGACTCACTGGTACCTGACCAGCTGAGTGACTGGTTGACTATCTGGTTAACTGACTGGTTCACTGAAGGACTTATTGCTTACTGACTGGCGTATGACTGGCTGACAGACTGGTTCACTGATCACTCGCACCCGACTTGTTTTTAAGCCTGAGTTGAGCTCTACAAGAGCTCGCACTTTTCACTTTTTGGCCAAATTTTGCAAAACACATCGCATTTCAGCTGGATTTTAATGTTTTCTTAAAGATTTCAAGCCCATGAAATGAAAAAATTTAATCTCGGCTT